TTGTATCTCTGAGCGTTGTCGTCTTTTTGTCCCCCTCCTCCATTGTCGCTTTGCTTCAGATCAGTGATTTCCAATTCTTTGATGTCATTTTCTTCTTTCATGTCTCCCCTGTAGAAAGCTGGATGCCTTCATTTACGACGCCGCAGTGCTGAACTATATGGCCAGGAAAGATGAGGGCTGCAAGGTGAGAACAACATCTGCCACTTCACAGCCCTGCGCACTCTCCCATCCTCATGTTGGGCTGCCTACCCCATGGTTACGGCGCAATATGCAGAAAAAGTGGATTAAACAAATCTTCTCTGAGCTTATTGTGTACACGGAACAACATAAATAAGCATTTCTCTGAGAGCCAAATCAGCTTTACATAAATGAAACACATCCATTGCATTTGTATTTATCCCTCGCGGCCCGCAGCTTGTTAATATTGTCATTTTTGGACAGTGCCGGCGCTGATTTATTTATGAGTTTGCGTTTGACGCGGGCTTTCGCAGCGAGAATAAAATATCTTCTCGGTGATCACTTGTAATAAGATCTGTGGGAGGCCTCAGCTCCCAGCAGCCTCGCACAACAGCCACTGCTGCAGTAATTATTACAACTGATGTGGATCTATATTAATTCCTCCACTGAAACAATATCCCGCTCTCCAGCTCCGGGATTGTAGGGGATGTCGATATTTGAGCTGAGCCAAATGCATTCATGCGTCAGTGACAAAGGAGAAAAGAAAGCAGCCGGAGGAGGAATTGGCGCTCATTTCCATTTGCACCACTGGGAGGATTAATGCGTTTGAGTGTGTGTCCCCCACGGGTTAGATAACGTCTACACGCGTGTGTCTTTGACTCCGAAAGGTGATGACCATCGGATCCGGGAAGGTGTTTGCCACCACGGGCTACGGCATCGCCCTGCACAAGAACTCTCGCTGGAAGCGCCCGCTGGACCTGGCTCTGCTGCAGCTGGTCGGAGACGGTGAGTAGAAAAGTCCCGAGAGGCATTTTGTGTCAGCAAACGAGGACGTACAAGCAAAAGGTGGGTGCGACTGAAACGGTGGCTGCCGCAAATAGAAGCTCCTGTTTGTGTTTGTGTCAACTTTGCTCAGATGTGAGGAGAGTCAGCGTGGGAGGTCACATGTTATTTTTTCCTTAGTCACCACCTCTCTGGTGATGTCATAAGGTCTGATGCTGCTGAGCTAACACTTAACAAGTAAATTAAGCTATTTTTTGTGTTGTCACGCTCTAGTTTCAGAAAGCTTAGATGTAGTGACTCTTTAAATTATCATTCTATTGTTGTTGGAGAATAATAATGGTGTAATGTCTTACTGAGAGGATAGGTAACGGGTAGTTGTAGATGATTTTGGTCAGTGTTAGAGCGGTATTAAAAAAAAACAACCTGAAAAGCTCCTCCGGTAGCATCCTCACAGATTTCGAAAAAAAGAAGAGAAAAATGATCGAAATTCCTCTTGAGATGAACTTGAAATGTTTGAGAGAATTTTTTCCAGGCTGACAGAAAACACGCTGGATGCTTGTCTTACATCTTTGGTTAGAAACCCTGCGACCAACACGGTCCTAGGCTCTAGCTGAAAAATCCCCAGCTCAGTATAGATCCCGCTCTATAATTAGGAAAAACGTGTTCTGCATACAAACATTTTGCAACATTGCTTTTTTTTTTGTTGTCTTTGAGTCCCAGCCGTCAGAGACTAAGATAAAAATAAAAGAGTTTGATAGATTTGATCTTGAACAAAATGATTAGATTGAATTCGAAAGTAGTAAAAAGCTAATATTACCTATTCGATAATTATAGAGTAGTTTTAAAGCCTTTATCAGCATGCAGGTAAAGATGAAGGAGAACAGCAAAGTAGAGTAGAACAGGAAAGAAAAATGCTTTATTCATCCCCAATAGGAGAGTTTTAAAGTGAAGGGGAGATTAATGTGGTATATTTACAACAATTTCACTGCAGAGATAATAAAATAATTAATGAGTACTTGCAAAAATGACCGGGCTTATGTAAGATTGCATTGTAAATGCAAAAAAATGTAATAAAACACAAAACAAAACAAGGTTGAGGTTGCACCTCCTGACAGAACAAATCACTGTGATTTCACATGCTCACTAAGGCCGTGAACTCTCCTCTCTGTCAATCATTTTCTGGTATTATTGGTCTATTGTATGAAGACCTTCAAAGGGTCACTGGAGACACCAAAAGCAGCGTGGAGCAGAACCCAGCGCTCTCTCCCGCTACCTCTAACAATCCCAGCCTTTGGTCATAGGCGCATCAGACAGAATATCACGTTTTATATGTTAGCATCACAGTGTTCCGCATTAAAATGCATCTGCAGCTTGTTTCCACATCCTTCTGAGACCACTATAAAGTATTCACTTTGTACTGAGTGAGTGAACGAGAGTGCGAGAGCTGGCGCTTGTAGACATGAAGAAGTGCTCGTCTGATGCTTTTCACTCTCTGCCAGAGAAGCAACGAGGCTTTATAACGTTATTCTCTTGAAATTGTGCTTGTGGGTATTTGCCTGAGAGGCACTATATTATTTCAGGCAGCACAGGCCTACAACAAGAAGTCTCGCTGAGCCCTGAAAAGCTGCAAAACGGGAACAAAACATTAAAATTTCAGCCCAGGCGAGAGATTTTATGGATTTTAAGCAGGCTAAAGATTGTATTCTGACACGGGCTGGCCTTTGTATCACTTGGTAGTTTTGTATTTGTTGCTAATTTGGTACAGAAAGATGAACAAATACGGAGTGGCACACATCGATAGTGTTGATTTATTCAAAAGTGCAATCAAAACTCGGTCCACCCGATGCAAAGCCTGATTTAATTATTTATTTTAGTCAAATAATTGCGCCACTTGACTCCCTGCAAATTGTAAATACTCATTTTTCAGGACTCAACATTGAGCTCAGGCCGTCCTCTGATCAATGTGAAATATGGCAGGAAGCCACCGCACGCCGCTCACACACTGCGCTCCTTAACGGGTCTTCTAATTGGTCCCAGAAAGGAATCTTGTAGCTATCGATGGCATTTCCTGTTTTCACGAGGTCACTCCCTCAGATTGGCTCCCCAGGGAGGCAATTTTAGCCCCTTTGCAATTAGTGAGCTCGAGGTAGCGAGCGATGCCTCAGCGACAGCAGCTCCCAGGGGCCGAGGGAGCCGGGGGCCGGGGGGGGTTAGGGGACCTTTAAAACCGAGAGGAGGGTGACGTTGTGAGGCTGGATTGATTGTTGGCAAACAACTCTGAAATCCTGCACACAAAGATTGCTTTTGAATCCAATGTTCAACATGATGTTTTCACTCTTTTTATGTCACTGATAAAAAGTCAGTGATGCTACTCAGTGTTTGCTTTTGATTCATTTGCATCCCGAAATATGTCCCACATGTCATCATTACACCTACGTGCCCGTTCCCTTAATGACTTTATTATTGGTTCCAGTGGTGCTGAAGTCGTGTTAAATCCTGCACTAGCTAGCATAGCTGCGCTGTGAGGAGATCAGGTGCACTGCAGTGTCTTGGATGACGTGCATCTTTTGAAAACAAGGGTGCTCCACTTGGCTTCCGCAGACTTTTGATGAATAAACTCTCTCAGAAGTGATGCTGCAAAAGGAGTGTACACATTTATAACTGCTGACAAGGTACCCCGTCTCAAATCCCACAGCAGCATATCCCGAATATTCCTTTGTGTCACTCACGCAGATTCATGCTGAGCGTGCACATCCAACAAATACTTTGTACACAAAAGAATGATGAAAGGAAAATGGGGATATGAATGGTCTGTGTCACTGAGGGAGGGGGGGCATGCCGCAACAGCACAGTGCACGCTGGGGAAATTGATTTCTTTGTTCACGTTCTTTTTCTACCAGCTTGGAACAACCCAGATGTTGAGATTCATTTTATAATTGTGTGCACGTCCAGGTTTGCTCTCAGGTTTAGTTTATTTCCATAATCACGCACATTCTGTTAGGAACGGGAATGGACTGAGTTCAGTCTCAGTCACTGGGATTTTGAGCCCGTAATTTCATGTTCACCTAGAGGTTTTCTCACTTGAGGATTTGTTGAGGATTTCATGTTTGTTTCTGTTAAGAAAAGATTGGCATTGGCACAAAACGCGAAGCTCCCCAAACACCCCGAGGAGCAGAGAAAACGCACAAAATGCAGGCTCAGCACATTTAAAACGTTGCCATCCAATCAATCATCTTCAGAATCCACCTCTCTATCAAGGACAGCAGTGGAGTTACAGGCACCGAAATCATCCGTCTGAACAGGAGAGTTTGATTTGTCATGGATTTGTGTTGTCAGATGTGTTGTCAGAGTAGAATTTAGATGCACCCAGCAATGGTGCCATGAGAGTATTACAACTCTAAGACAGGTTTCTGTGAGCAAATGCTTACAAATGCACTCTGTGGTCTTCACGTCTTTGTGTGATCTTCTGCCCAGCTTGAATTTTCCAAGCAGATTTACCTCACCGGACAAAGATCTTCATTCTCCGGAATTACCGTCGAACATTCTCTCGCTTTGTCAAAATTTCACTGACTGTTCTTTTGCACAATCAGCACATGTGGGAAGGCTCTCTCGTGTAAACACATTTTCCTCTAAATGATGCATTCTCAAAAGCGACAAATAGAAAAAGGAAGCAGAGTGTGGACTGTTGGTACTCAGGAAAGAAGCAATGAAGGGATGCTCTGACCTCTCAAAGGTGGGCTTGCAACAGCATCCAGCTGCTCGCTGGAAGCACAGCTGGAGAGGGTCTGCCCTACTGAGACGGGACATGGTTCTTGCTCCAGCTTGGTTTGGAAGCTCCTGTGGCTAAAAGAAATGTGTTTGGATCAGAGTTGTCCAGCAAAGTTTATTTGAAAGATGTAACGAACGGACATCCGGGGCACGCAGTGATGATTACAACCATTTAAGGCTAATTACTCACATGGCCATGACAGCTGTTTCTTTCTATGCAGGCCGGAGAAAACGCAGAGCCAATTGTAAGAGAATGCTAAATGATGCCTATTGATGGAAATAAAGATTTTCCTTAGGACGATTTCACCCCTGTCCACAGCACTGTGCTCAGTAGCACTGTGGATCATAGCACCATGCCCCCAAATATGCACATTGGGAGTCTTTTAAAATGATAATTTTTTTATTTATTTAGACAAAGAAAGGAAAAATCCTTTTTTCGATTAATTTTCTTTTAGTTCTCAATAAAAAAAATCAAGCAATGCTTTATTTGTATAATATAAATATGTAGATACATGCAACTATCACTCTATGCATTGTTCTTTTGGTTTTTATTGTATTTCAGTCGGCCCCGCAGTGAAGTGTGTGCTTGCTAAAAGACAACAGGTTAGAGTAAGGGGGGCAAATAGACAGGATTTCAACAAGCCAGTGAGGTTGGTTGGCTTTTTTCAAGTGCCTCGCACAAGTTACCTTGTAAGGATTAATATTTAGGATTTGGTGTCCCAGGAGCCCTCTTAGACGTCGCCACATTCTGCGCGTACCACCTGCTCTCCTCTCTCATCATGAAAACATCCCTCCTCTCAGGCTGGTTCTCCAGTCTGCGCCTGTTCTTCCAAAGTTTCGCCGATTGTTTTGACATAGCAATTTCTTTCTGAGATGGAAGAAACAGCGATGACACGGCGGCAGGAATAATGGTAGCTCCCATAATTTACTTCTGTCACTCACAGAGATGCCGTTACAGTAACCTTAAATGATTCCCCCGTTGTTTGCTGTCCCTTCCAATATTTTTTTCCGAGCAAAGTTCACTTTTGCTTATTTATATGCTGAATATTGCATCCATCCAGAATGTCTCGGAGGAGACACTGCAATCCAATCTAAACATGACTGATGCAGAATTACAAATGGAAACAAAGAGTCTATCCCTATTTTTTCGCTTGTTTTTCAAGTTAATTTGCAATTCAATCAAAGCGTGGGGGGGGGGGGGGGGGTTCAACACAGTGAACAACAACAAAAAAACGATGGACGTGTAAAATATGCAGCAGTCGTTTAGGAGTCACAGGTTAGACCATGTTTTCAGGCAACATAATCAACTTGAATTCATTCTCACAAACATGGATCTGGCCTTTTTTTGAGGTGGCTCTCTGTCAGTACTCCCGCCTTCCAAAAACATGCATCTTGGGTTAATTGCTAATTCAAAAAGGACCACAATTAAGTCTAATTTTCATTTTTACACAAATCCAATTAATCTTTACTCAGTGCCATTTGGGTTTTTTCAGACCTGGGCAAAGCCTCTCCCGAGAGCCTCAGAAAATCTATAAACATCTGGCACGTTGTCAACAGCTGCATATGTGCACTGTGCACTTGTGCACTGCAGTGTGCCAGGTTGACAGAGGTATTGTTTCTTTGGCTTGCCCTGATGCAGCGGGAGCCCTGTGTTGACCACTTGTTTGACTTTGCCCTTTGCCACGTGCAGCATCTTTAAACACAAGCTGCTTACTTGAGTGGAAAAACCGAGAAGCGTAGGATGGGATGCATTGTGTACGCCGCCTTTAGAGGCATTGCGGGTGACTGTGTATAGATTTAGAACTGCTGCAGGTGATGATGGCGTTTAGTGCTTTTCTGCACAGATTGGATGGAGGAGATATTCCTTTAAATGTCACTGAGAAGATTAAAAATTCCTTGGGCTTAATTCCAAACCAATACAAAGCTGTTAGAGTAATCCTGCAACACTGAGGAGCCATGAATTTAACTAAGTTGACTTGTTTCCACTCACAATCACATGAATCGTATTTTCTGGTGGGGGGGGGGTCTCTCCCAAACAACCGCTCTACGTGCAAGTGACTGTTCTGATTAACGCATTTACAGTAAAACAAAGGAGGAGCTGCATAACGCCGGACAGGGAAAGAGAAGCCAGATGAGCACACATTGAAACTCCACGAATTAGAGGAGTGTGTGAACAGCTCCTTAATGAACATGCACATTAGTCTATTGTCAGGAGATGCACAAGGAGACGGGTAAATATAGTTCATCTCAAGCTGTCAAGGAGCATTTGAAATCCTGCCTGACTATTGTGGATGTGAAATTTGGCAGGCTGATCGGCATTAGGGTGAGATTTCTGTTTCGTTTGAGCAGAATAGACACTGCAGGCAGCACGGCTGAGTCGCAGATGTCTAATCCAGGCGGAAAGGCTTTACAGTGGGATTTCCAGACAGCATTAATTAACCCAGGGGTCAGTAAATAATTGGTATTAGCACTTTTTTCTTCAACTGGGGCATCTTCAGAGTATCCACAGTGATGGATTCTGAGCATATGTCAGGACAGTGTGCTCGTGTGGCAGATTCAAACCCCCCCCCATAACCAGGCATCGGCTTCAGTGTACACAGCCACCAAAAGCAAGATTCTCCTTCCTCCTGCCTCAGTCTTTGTGATTAAAGCATTAATGGCCAGCACTGAGAGTCCCATTACGCTGGAGTTCAGAGCGTGTGTCACGCGTGCGTGTGCGGGGAGCGCGGCGTTTGTGTGTTTTCCCCGCTTTCATCTCCCGTGCGCTGTCACATCAGTCTGCCCTCAGACATCCAGCCATTCCCCCGCCTGCTTCAAAAGGATCCTCTCTGCCCCACTCACCGTCTAGATCACCGTTTCTCTTCCTTTTCCGTCACACAAATCTTTCCTCTGGAACTCTGAGCCCGTTCCTATTGTTTCTGGTGTTTTCATGTATGAATGCACAAACTCGTGTTCATATGGGCCTCTAATCTCTTTTCCAGGGCCACATTTCATCACCTATTCTGTTATTTCTTATAGAATCCATTCTTCCTCTTCATCCCTCAGGTCTTTTTTTCCCTCTTATATTTGTGTGTCAATCTCCATTTTGCATGGTTTATCTCCTTCATGTCGACTCCTTGTCCCAAAGCATCTTCTTCTCTTTGCTTTCAGATTTCCTTCCTTAACCCTCTCCCCTTTTCCCTTTCAGATGAGATTGACATGTTGGAGCGTCTCTGGTTGTCAGGTATCTGCCACAATGATAAGATCGAGGTATGCCGTCTTAAACCTTTTTAAGTCTGTAACCCTCTCATCCTCTATACTCATAATATAAAAACGCTGGTGACGCTGGTCTGGACAAATGTTTATGGAGCTCACAGAGCTGCTCTGATGCTAACCCACACAATGGTCACTGGATCTCCTCCCACCCACCTTAATGTTCTCGTACAGAGCCAGATTTAACCCTCAGCTCCTATGTTCGTCCACTGGAAAATTGTCTGGTGTTGCTACCCCCAGCGAATGCAGCTTTATTGGAGGGTTACCTACCAGAGTAGAGGCCCCTTCTCTACCTTTAATAAGCTTCTAAAAAGCACTTTTCAAAGAGGTCCTCTCATGACAGACTATATTTATTTTTTACTTCCTTCCCCTATCAATCTTTCCCCCATTTGCTTGTTCCTCAAACTGTATTTAATCTAACTGGAGGTCTGCTCTCCACTTGTGATGTATTGATATTATTTTCATTTATTGTAAATATCTCTTTATAATGCACCTCATTATTTTCTGAGTCTCTGCTAAATGCATAAATGTATAAACTGAACTGCAAACTGTTCAGTAAGGTATGATGATGGCACTTATATCTGCAACCGACCCGCAGTTGCATGATTCAACCATTTTGGATGATGTGTGAAGACATTAAGCTAATGTTAATGCATCCTCAGAGGAACAACACACTATCTTTTAGAGAAAACAACATCAGTGCAGGAAATTCTCCTTAATCAGAAGCCGTTTTCTTGAGTACAAACTGGTTTGTCCATCATTTTGTGTTGGCTGAACATTTGTTAAGCGATCTCTAAGTTATCAACAGTTCGGTGGTTAAACCATCGATGTTGATACCTCAGCCACGGCCGTAGCTGAGCCAGCATAGCTGGCACCTTCACCAAAGTGCTGTGGGTATTATTTCCACTTTTGGAAATATTGCAATCTTAAAGTCTACCACAAGCATTTTGTACTCTACATGTGATCTTTCTGACAGCTACAGCTTGGTTTATTTAGTCACATATCGGGAATCTTGTGTTTACAGGAATCAATAAAGGAGATATGTTTGGCCTCAACTTTACTGAAGTAGAGTTGCTGGACCTTAAGGAAACTGGTACTGATCCGATTGTCAGTCCAGACTGAGCATCATCTGAGGGGTTTTGTCCAACTAATGCACAGAACATGTAACCAGACTAACTCAAGCTCCTATGATTATCGTCCTTACAGCCCCTGTACTCATCCTGAATAAGGAGCAGACATTTCTTTTTATCAGGAACCTTTTCCGGTAATAAAGGCAGAGCTGTACACCTCCTCAGGCACCGTTTTGTGTGTTCATCTCACACAAATGTGTTGCATCCTGATAAGTTGCACCGCTGGCAAAACGTGGAGAACCTATCAAACAAGAAAAAAACTGTGAATGTTGAAATGTACCAGCAGCGTGCTCCAACATCCGATGAAAAGAAGAGTTTTTGTGCTTTTGGTCGAATATCAACAACATAATTGCTATGTTGGAGAAAAACACTCCTCATTAGTAACAAGCAAACCCTCATCTGTTTGTCCAGAGTTTTTTTTCCTCACTTAGCTCCTCTCTCCCAGTGTTTTCCCCTCATCTTCCCCCGCCTTCCCTCACAGTTTGGCTCTCCTCTCCCGCAGGTGATGAGCAGTAAGCTGGACATTGACAACATGGCAGGAGTGTTCTACATGCTGCTGGTGGCCATGGGCCTCAGTCTGCTGGTGTTTGCATGGGAGCATCTGGTGTACTGGAAACTACGGCACTGTGTGAAGAAGTCCGGTGGGATGGACTTCCTCCTGGCTCTCAGCAGGGTAAGAGGACTCATCACTTTCTACCAATGTCAGCTTGGTTTTAGGGTAGACTTAAAGGTGTGAAAAACTTTTGATTTCCCATTCTATTTTTTGATGTGAAATGACTACCTGTGGTTTGATTGGAGCCTTGAAATTCACATTATACACGAAGATGCAGTTCCAGATGGAGGATGATGAACAAAAAGGATCTCAGACAGGTTAAAAAAAAGGCATGATGAGTAACAATGTAAATTGATGCTTTCTGGCTCTCAGCATGGACAAGAGCCAAAATAATGCTGTCATCATCCCAAAGACAAAGGCCCCGGAACAGAGTGATCGCTTTATGTCCTATATAATCAACAGAGTTTCTGTTCTTTGGGGTCTCAGAAACATTCAGTGCAGATGTTGGAATGAAAAAGAGAGGCTGTGGTTTGGGAAGAAGAGTAGAAAAAAAGGAGATATGGTACATTGCAGAGATGAGGCATGTGAAGAGGGAAAGTTAGAAGAAGTGGGCTGATAAGGGAGGGAAACTTTGAGATAAAAGGAGAGCTGAGAGTGTTAGGAGTACAGGGATACCGTGGCAAAAGATGGCATCAAAAGCAAGCTTTACACAGAGGTTAAAACCAGGAGACCTGCTGCTTAACAGCAACATGGTTTGCTCGAGCCTGCAGTGGCCATCTTCCATTTGTTTACACAACACATAACAAAAACTGGGGACCTCCGTCCTCACTAGGGAGCAGCCATGCACACGACCACTGGATTTGGTTTGAATGATGTTTGAGTTTTTTCCTATTTTTTAATGTCACTTTGTATTGTCGGTTAAAAACAGTTAAAAAAAATAAACAAGATACATGTAGCAATAGCTTATCTATTAATTTATTATCCATAGATTATTATAGTTGTTTACACATATCTATTTTTTTGTTTTCAGGTGTCAGCTTTTTAAGAATTTTATATTAAATAATTTTGCCCTCAGTAACGGTCATATTTTCATGCGAATGTTGATTCTTTTCAGTATATTCTTAAGCCACCATCATATTTTAAGCTATGATGAAAATCTGTTCAAATTCTTACTCTTTTTCAGTTTCTGACATTGATCCAGATGTTCCCAGTTGGACTTTTTGCAGAAACCTTTCCTCTTTCATTTAAAGTTCAGCCAAATTCTGATCTCATCCAGTTACATTTTCTCATTTTGACGGTAAAATATTTGACTTTTAACATCGGAAAATTGATTTTTGATTCACAGCCCGACATCAACAGGAGTACAAAGAAGGTCTGGCTTAACCCAGTCTGCGACTTACCTTTCAGTTTTTATTTCACACTGTGCTGCGTCCCGCGATCTCGGGACTGTGATGGCCCTTTTTCCTGTAGGACCTGCTGATTCATGTGTCCACAGGGACCATTATTATAGCCTCTCCATCAAATCTGTGTCCCGAAGGGGAAAAGAGATTTACAAGGGGCTCCACACATTTTATCTTTAATATGAGATAGGTAATATATGAATCACTTTCACCACTCCATGAGGAATTATAAAGATTCTAGATTTACGTGTTCACCTTTAGTCCTGCTAATTGAGTCCCACCCACCTACAGTCAGGTGCAAACATATGACGATAAGGGAAAAATAAATGACGGTTGATCTATTTTTGGCGAAGTTGATGCTCTGGTAATTTACATTGATTTCTGATGTATTAGCTACGTCAAAAGAAAAAAAAAAACGCGCGCACACAAGTTAAATTAAACTATTTTAAGGAATACTTTGACAGAGAAAGATGCAAAAGTTAACAATGACCACCAAAGAAAAAAGCAAAGACTAACTGCAGCTTTAAGAACATTTTGAGAGCGAGAGCAAATCACAAATCGCAGAAGACAGATAATTTTTGCAAAAGAAAAGAGAAACAAGACCATTCAGTTGAAATGAAACAGGCACAAATGAAGGAAAAGGAACAATGGTCATAGATGAAACCAGAAAAAGCGATGACAGGAACTGCTCATGAAAAATAAAACAAGAACTGGTTTGCATGTTGGGGTGGAGTTAACCAAATTGCTTTAACTGGGACTCAAGTCATATTAAAATAAATTTCTGTCCTAAAATGTCTAATCACACCATAAGAAATTAACATAAGATGGAAAACAGGGGTGTTAAAGTGTATTTAAGCATCACCAATGCCTGGTTGGCTTTTCAGCATTCCCCCTTTTAATTTTAATCCACTCTTCTGGCATAAACATGTCTTTATAAACAGATTTTCCTCATTCTGCGCATTAATCTTGTTTTTTCACATATACTGTCACATATACTGTGTGTAATTGACACATGTAGATTAATACTTTCAGAAAATATTGTCCCTTCAGCAGAAGATAACTTATAGATTTTTGACGATTACTTTACACTATAAATTGTACATCCATCAAAAATAAGTTGAATAAACTTTTTTGTATAAACTCTTTTTTTAATGTTTTTTCTCAAGCAAACTATCAGGCAAGGAGTCCTTGTGATGCATTCGTCTCAGTTTATAACATTGTCGTTTTCATATTTTTGTTTTTCTCCATCATTTTGATTGGAGACAAGAAACCAGAGGCTGCCTCAAACCTCATTTACAAAGTGCGTTTTGTTCTTTTCCGCATCTATTCCACAGAACAAATTTATTGTAAGCTTTTTATGGAGTGACGTTAGAACTTGAAGGGAGCATGGAAGACTCAGTTTGAGGCTGTTCCAAAACTCTCATTAATATTTAATTGTGAATGCTCCTTACTTTTCTGAGGAGAGGAGAGGTGTTGACCGAGAACACCCCCGCCGGGATGTCTCAGCATGTCGGAAGAAGAAAGAGAATCGAGCCCACAAAGCTGCACCCTGTTTGTAAAAAACATTGCATCATGCAGTTGTCAAACATTGTTGTCCAGACAACATTTTTCTTGATGCAGCAGCCTGTCACAACTCCTCTGTGTGGTATTTACATCAGGTGCTCGACAGGCTTTGACCTTGTTATGATCTTCTTTCAACGGCTACCGGATTAAAAAATCGTTGGGGTTCGGTTCTATCATTACTGATACTATTTGTAAGGATGGAAAAACCATTACATATATTAAATATGTAAAGTCACAGCCTGGATTATCCCATACACAATTAATATATAAATTCTGCTCTCTGTGTGTCATAACTTGTAAACTGCACTGTAAGTGCTCATTGGATCATCTGGACTGTGATCATCAGTCATCCATGGAAAATCCACAAAAGAAATAATTGAAGCCTGGGGAACTTAGATTTTTTCTTCCTAACTTTTAGAAGCTGGCTGAAGAATCCTCATGTACTGTATGTCAGACATGGTTTCCTGAAGATAGCTTTTATATGGTTTGTAAAGATATCTGATTGAAGATGCTCAATAGGTTTCCTTTTCAGAATTGGGAATGTCAGGCTCTCTGTGTTTCTGTCTCTGACACACACTTCCTCCTTATCACACTTGGCAGCCAGTTGGTCTAATTACAGTCTCTCTCTTATCCGTCCACCCAGGGAATGTACAGTTGCTGCCAGTTTGAGGATGAGACAGCACCAGGAGGAGGCAAGAGCTCTCTGCCCCAATACCACACTGTGACCACGATGCCTACTGTCCCCCAGCAGCACCTGGTGACGGCCCCACTGAACAACACAACAGCCATCGCCATGGTTCAGCAACAGCAGCAGCAGAAGCATCACCAACAGCAACTGGGGCAAACATACACAACTATGTTACCTGGATCGCCACCCAATACAGGACATTCAGCAATGGCTTTGGGCCCATCAAACAGCCCCTTACTGGAAGGTCCAATGCCCTGCTCCACCTTTTTGCCTCGCCATGATCGCAGGCTGGCTGTTGTCGATCGCTGGAACCGGCCAAAACCTGAGAAAGTCATGAGTGCAGGCAGCAGTGGAGGGGTGGGTGTAGGGGGGATTGCAGGGGGGATCACTGAACTACAGGCCCAACAACAATATCAGCAAAACCTCGGACAGCACTGGAGTTTGCAAGGGGGAGTTGCGGGAGGAGGAGGAGGTGACACAGGGCTAGATGAATACAAGCGTTACTATGGTCCTATAGATCCAGAGGGCCTGGGAGCCAACACGGACCAGCAGACAGGGGGTCCTCAGCAGACTCCCAAAGCCAATCCTCGAGGCCTTAAAGCCTCAGGGATGCCACGGCCGCCTCCTAAAGGTCCCCAGCAAGGCCAGGGACATTTAATCCCCAAGCCACCTCCACTGATGCCATCATCTCCACGAAGGCCGCCCTTCTGGAGACGGGGAAGTCTAGCTCAGGCAAGGAGAAAAGGCTCAGGAGGCCCCCTGTATGAGAACATACTCCCTCTGGGGAGACGAGGAGGTGGGAGATATGGAGCGAGTGATGGAGGTGGAAGGAGGGGACGCCGACCGCCTCCGCCCCCTCCTCTCCCGGTCCCCCTTTCTTCTCCAACACACACCCCCACCACTCCTTCCTCTCCTTGCCGTTTCTATTCATCCTGCTCCAGTGCCTCCTCCTCCTCCTCTTCATCTTCATCATCTTCATCCTCCTCTTCATCATCTGTTTCGCTTTCCCGGTCAAACTCCCCCTCTTGCTCCAGTGACAGCTCATACAACTCCTCACTGAGTTTCCGTTACCGAGCAGGTGATCGGGATTTAATGGTAGACGACGAATATGACTCGGACCTTCTCACGGAGGAGTCGAGCCTCCTTCTGGGCTCTCGGAGGAAAATTCGCTCCCGGCGCATGTCGTCTCGCTCACTGCCATGCAGCCCGCCACCTCCTCCCGTCCCACCACGGAAACCAAAACCACAGAGGGTTTACGGGAGAGAGAGAACGGGCAGCCAACTGGCCCAATTACAGGAGTGGTGGGCCTCGTGGGGTGACAGAGAGCGGGGGAGGGGAGGGACAACCCCCAGAGCAATCGGAGGGGTCGGTCGAGAGGAGAAGAGACACCACAAAGAGAGAGAACGCGAAAGGAAGAGAAGAAAGAAAGGCCGAAAAAAGAAGAAAAGGGAGGAAAGAGAGAGGGAAAGGGAGCGGAAGCGACGCAAAGCAAAAAAGAAAAGGAAGAAAGACGACAAGATGAAGAAAAGAGAGCGAAAGAGGTCAGAGCAAGAGGGCGGAGATCCTGAGAAAAGAGAGGAACTAAAATCAGGAACACCGGACTTCCCGTCATACCCGCCTTTGAGACGAGAGTCATTTCGGAAAAAGAGTGAGAGTTCAATTAGGAGCTATGGATGGAACATACCGGGGGAAGATGAGAGGAAGGAACGAGAAGAGAAAGAGAGGGATGAAGGGGAAGACAGCAGGATAAAGGAAAGACAGCCCAGAAGAAGGAACAGCAAGCATTATCATGGCGCCAGTTGTAAACCTTCTACATCTGTCAAGTTCTGGGGAGGAGGGAATCCATCTTCTGACGCCACCCCATCTGCCTTTCTTCCTTTGTTACCTGTTTCCTCCAAAAGGAGGAAGAGTAAGAGTTCAGACAGAGACGCCGCAGGAATAGAGGGTGAGAGGAGACCATTGTTGGGTCGGAATGAAAGAGGTGAGATTCCCCCCAAAGAGGGCCTGTCCTTCCATGAGTGGGAGTCTGAAATGGAGGATGTGGAGGATTCTGAGCCAGACAGAAGAAAAGCAGAGCATGGGAAAAGGCGAGGAGGAAGGACTATATCTGATGAAGAAAGAGAAAGGGATAAAGTAGTTGGGATTTACTCCGATGATGATGGATCCTCTGGAGAATTTGGAAAGTTTGAGAGGTACTGGGAAGATCACGAAGGAAGAGCAGTGGGAGGGATTGGAGGGGGTGGTTGGTTTTTCAGTACTTATCCCTCAAGGGACAAAAGTGGCAGCATCAACAGTAGAGACGACCTGTTCCTGGAGCGTGGAGACAGGTGGGGAACGGCAGAGAGTGGCTGGGGTTCCAGTGCAGGTGGTGGTGGCAGGGCAGAGAGAGGGTGGGGATCTGGTTCTCACTGGCCTCCACCTCCTCTCACCCCGCCACCTCCACGCCGGTATTGGTCAGTGGATAAACTCCACATTCAGGACGAGAAGAAGAGTAAGCGTAAGTCGAAAGACAAGGGAAGAGGGCACGCGGCCTGCTCCTCCTACCATTCCCCAAGGCGACATGCTCACCCCTCCAAATGGGCCGGGGTGACATCACGAAGCCAGGAGGAGCTGTACCACCACTGCCAGAGTTTTGGTGGTCCTTCAAAGCCCAAACACGACTCCTCATCCAAACCCGACCGATCACACAATCCATCTAAATCTGGCAGCCAGACAAACCTCAGTATCCAGCAACGAACACAGAGAACAGACAGGGATCGAGATAGAGGGAGACAGCCATCCCCACCTCAGTCTCTCATACCCAACTTGCCACCACCACTTCCTGCTCTCCCAGCTCCGCCTTCATCATCTCACTCTATCCATGCTCCTCCCCACACCTCTTCTTCTTCTATATCGTCCCCCTCTGTGGTCTCGTCCACACAGGGTGCCCCCCAGGCCTCCTCCATGGCTTCGGCAAGTGCTAAACTGCAGTACCAGAGACTGCGCTCTGTTCCCCAGCCCCAGAGATTTCCTCCTTCTCCTCACTTACCCCTCAAAACCAAGAGCCTTTGCTCCCGGAGAGGCTCAGCCCATTTCTCCAGCGTGGAGAGTGAAGTCTGAAGCTCAGCATGGTATCAAAAGTCATAGGAAAGCCCTGCAAAGGCTGCCGGACACATGACCTGCAAACATGGCTGCACATCAGCAAAAATGGCTGCACAGCAAAGTCGGTACACCACATGCACTGAGCTCTTTCCTGAAATTCTGCACAAATGTAACTGAAAGCCACACAAATCCAGTGGAGAAGATCACAGGAACACAGGACCATTCTTGTGTTTACTGCTGTGTTCCTGTTGATATGGGAAAAAGCAACGGCAGCGATGACTTGGATTCTAACCTATACTCACCTAATAAAGGCAAACCCGACATCACAAAAAGTAGAACTAAAGTGGTTGAGGCAGAAAGGTCGTTACTATATTCAGAGGAACCTTTCTGCTTGCTGAGGGCTCAGGAACTTTATAGTACTGTATGCCTGCTGCTCTCAGAAGCCTTTAACACAGAGCAGTGTTCTTATTTATTTGTTCTTATGTTTTTTTTTTAACAAATCGCTTACTTTTCCCTAACAAACTGTTTACACCCCCGCGGAACTGTGACACCCACCGGAGGTACCTTTATAGTGTGATAAATACCTTCCACTTTAGAGGAATGGGAATAACCACCTACTTTCCTGGTATCCATTGCTTTCCTTTTTGCTCCTATTCTCCCTGCCTCTTCTTTTCTCTTTCTACTTATCTACTTCTTTGACATCTTATTTACATGTGAATTTTCCCACATCACTTGTCCTCACCTTTCCCCTCTTGGCTCCTCTCCTTGATGTGATTATTCTGTGTGTCAGTGCTTTTCTGTGTTTGTATTTTTGACAACAGGGTAAGTCAGCTGTGACTGATATTCTTCTGGCTTAATGAAAAGCTGAGTGCCAAACTTAAGTAGAGCTCAACATCAATCTGTGTAACATTAGCAGCTTTATTTTCTTTAATCTTGCAGTTTTGCATCTCCAAATGCGCCAACACTCATAAATACCCACAGAAGCTAATGTACGAGCAAGTCCCTCCATTGACTTCTCTTCTTGAGCAATACATTCAGCCTCTGTTCATGTTAAAGCTTTATACTTAAAGTTCATTGCTTTACTTCTGTGTTATAGTTGTTGTTGCTATTGATGGTGTTCTATATGTCAAGACAAGTATAAAATCTAATACGATGTAATCACTGTGCCATAGTGCTCAAGCTTGGGTGCACAAGAAATGTTCTCTCAACTACCTAACTACAAAATTGGAGGCAGTTTCTGTTCCCTGCCCGTGTTTGTCTGAATGTAAAGTCGGTGGCCAACATGGGCAGTGCGACTAAATTTACTGTAAGATACTTGAAGAGGGGAATTGTAGCATTTAAGAGGGTTTACACGCACGGTTAAGAGCAAAGCAACACCATGCTAATCTTCTCGGGTAAATCTACAGTACATGCTAAAGAGAGAGCTGCTGTGATTTTTATCACATTTTTTTAATCTTTTTTTTGGGGGGGTTGATATGTTCTGCAAGAGGCTGAGCTGCGCCGAGGCTAGAAAAGAGAAAACCTGTGCAAAACTCTCTAAACCAGGTTACCCTGTTGTGAGGCAGGAGATATGCATCTGAAGTGTCAGCTGGTGATTCACAGATTGTTGACACGATGCAGGGAAATGAATACTTCTAGCCTTATGCTAATCAATCCTGCCATATTTGATTTGTCGAGTATGAGTATAAGGGTATGCCATGTAATGATCGGACCGAGATTTGATTGGTTCAGGCCATTTAGTGCCAGCGCCGTTTTGATGTCAAAGCGACTGTGCCTGTGTTGCATCCTATGAGAAAAATGGTGGATTTGAGTGATGATATATGAGAGACTTAATGGCACTTCCTGTGACTATTTTGGTTTTAGAAAGTGTTTTTCATCTTGTAAATGTTTCACCAAGAGCTGCTGCTTTTTAATCTGTGACCAGGCCTATACCAGCAGCTGAAATCCAATGTCAAGCAACGAGCTGAAGTTATCAATCACAACCATTAGAATTTTTTTTTCTACTTGGATAAACTGGCCATCGGTAGGGAGTCGAGACAAAAGCTGCTGGAATAACAGCAATTTTTGTGCTTGTTTTGGTTTTTAATTTGATAAAACTGCCTGAGCCATCTTTCCCAAAGGTCTGCTCAACTCATGTTGATTGCCTGGAACTGCATCTGAGCCATACCTTACTTCAGCTGAAGAAAACAAAAGAGAACTTAAGTTTTTAGCATAAGATTTGTTGTGTAGAGTTTGTTCGATTTTCTTTGCAAAAAACAAAACAAAAAAAAGGAAAAAAGAGATATTTCATATGTATATTTGTGGCAGTGGGTAGCATTAGAGAAAATAGGTGTTAACATTGGAGAAAGTACTTCTCATTGCAGCTACTTTTAAATTCAAACACTTTCAAAACTATTTCAAAAGCTTTTTCATAATGACTGATCAAAACAAACTTCACAACAATTCCCTGTATCAAAAAAAGGAAAGAAATTAAATGAGACGATGGTTTAATTACTTGCCTATTGGCATCAGCAATTGATCAATTTGACTTGCTTGGATTTAAAGTTGTAACTGAACACTTGTGATGGGCGAAAATATGAAGTAGTACACAGCGGCTACTAGTGATGTGATCAGAAAGTTTGGGTGTTCTCCCAGAAAAAGAGCCACTATGATATCCCTTTTCCCCCCCTCACCTCTTTTCCTCATGTCTATCCATTGTGCTGGTGTGCGTCTGCAATTGTAAAGCTGGTCAGGTTTAAAAAAAAAGAGTAAATGTGGATATATTTATTTCATCTGAAAAAAATAGCATATCTATATATAGATATAAATATATATATAATAGTATATTTCAAGACTCTGAAAATCTATGTTAATATAAGTTTGTCTACTAAATTTATGGTATTATCTCAATGAAAATGTCTTTTTTTTCGTCAGTGTCTCCCTTGTCTCAGACCTCCTGCCCAGCTCCATAATCCCCAGTGAAAACAGAGACCAGTATGTAACTGTGTTTTTGCTCACTAAAGATCAACCATCCGCCTCCATTAGCTATGTAAAGTAGCTAAAGCTGAGAATTCAACATGGTGACAACGTGGAGGGCTGTGCGAGTGTCTTATGACCATGTCACTGTAGCAGTGGCGGCGTGTGTTTGTCTATCCAGAGGGGCCTTTCTTTTTGGTTTGGGCTACAGATGAACAACTAATCTAGTCTTTTTATGGATACAGCAGCTTTTACCACAACTCTCTCATGTATAAGGGGTCACATTCTTGACCCTGTTTTGAGGTTAACCGGATGTGTGAGTTTATACCGTACAGAACAGAGAAATGACCTCTTTGCAACACAATGTAGCGAAGCAGCACAGGCTTTTTTCTGCATTTGTTGGTAGCTGTATTGCTATGAAAACCATGCACAGCTACCCCTGCCAACCAACCCAAGTGGTGTATATAAGGACTTTGATAAACATACATAGTGTCATGTATTTGCCATGCTGCTGTGCTGTAAAACAAGTAAGAAAGAATGACGCACGACAAAACACTTTCTTAATTTTTCACAAAACTGGAAAAGTTATTTTGACAACTGTTAGAGACGGAGCTAAGCCTGCTTGTTTGTGTGGTTTCCCCCGAAGGCAAAAGAGTGGCCAAACCAGGGCTTTGTTCGTTCAGAACACATTTTCAGACGAGGAAAAACAATCCCAGCGCATGCATTTCGCAGCAGTGATTAATGTGATCGCTCTGTTATTGTAATCTGTTGGTTCATCTTATCCGACAATTTTGACAGATTGTCTCCATCTTGCATAACATCATGCATGACGTAACCAACCGAGTGAGTCTCAGAGTAATCAGAAGAACATCTGCATCTCCATATTTTGGCGAGCCAGCTCATTTTTAAAGATTTGGTGCCCTTTTCTGTTTTGGCAGTTTGCCCGTCTTTGGTCATCAGATGCAGAAGCCCACATATATAAAGGTGGCTTTCACGTCCAGACACAATCCCCTCACCCACCATCCTGTTTGTTAGCCTCGACGTGTGCATTCATGTGCCATTTTGTTGGTCCGGCCATATTTGCATGAGTAACTTTACAGCTGGCCACGTTTCTTCTGGCAACCCTCATCAGCACAGAGCTCACAGGATCATCCGTCGGATGCCAGCTTGAGTCAAAAGACGAACCCCTTTTCTTCATAACTACTTAAATGTGCAATAAATCTCCGAGTTGAAATATCCATTAGTCAACATAAATCTCAGAATATTCTAAGCATTTACTGGTTTTGAGCCCTGGTGAGCCCAGTTTTAGCCTGCAGTGGAAGCACATCCACAGTTTTTGCTTAGATACCTCTGAACAAGCCTTGTATTACTGTTGCTGTATCGACTGACTGTATGGGACAATGGGTGGTTGTTCTGTGCTTTATTGTCAGTACCTCACACACACATACAGACCAATAAACACAAGCAGGATGGTTCGATTCTCCCTCACACACACGCGCTCACAGATGTGGTACGAAGCTGCCACCACTCTGCTACAGCCACATCTGCCAAACAGTGGGGAAGATGACAATATTGTGCTGTACTGCAAGCAGGACAAAAATAAAAAGATGATTTTATTAAAGAATTGAAACACGTGTCAGAGTTTTCATCTGCTGGTTGAATTTCCATTTACAATTTCCTTGCCCTTAAATTTTGCACATACTCTAAAAGCCCTTCAGGACACTTACTAAATATTAAGTTTGTATTATGACCAGTTAACGTCATTATTCCTTTATTACGCTTTTTGTTATTTTTTAAGATGCTGTCTATCTCTGAAAGGCAAAAGGTAATTTTCAAAAGGAGACAGACAAATGCCCCCCACCCAAAAAATAGGATATATCTGAAAGAGAAGCAGTGTGGCAGTTAAGGCAGTGACACCGATAGTGAACCGACTGAAATAGGGAAGGAGAGTGGACATATGGAATGAAAGAAATTAGATGCAGCCATCAGCTCTCATGCAGTCTGCAGGGTAAGATAGAGCCAGTTGTCATTTCTGCCAACAATTGGCCATCTCTGAGTGCTCACTCTATTAGGAGCAGAGAGGATAAAGATAAATCACACACACACATATGTGCACGCACGCTTTATCTTCGTCTTCCTCTCCCTCTCCATCTTACAGAGTAAGAGAGGCATGCAGCCACACACACACACACACACACACTGCAAAACAGCAGGAACTGTCTTCTGAAGTTTCTCTGCTTCTCAGTTCACATTTCTATTATTAAGAGCGGGTTCAGGAGTTCAGAGATGTTTCTTCTAAATGAGCTTTTACTACAAGCCACTCTGCACTGTTAAAAAGCTGCAGACTGTGTTTCTGCTGCCGGGTGTTACTCTGATTAATGTCCCTCTTAAAGTGCAGAGCGACGCGTATGTATCTACCTAAAGCCTCTGACTCAGTAGTCTGTTGTGCCATGTAGTAAAATGTCAAGGATGCAATTCATTAAGATAATGCTTTTAGCCACCCCCCACCCACCCCCGAAGCACTCAGTGTTAGTTTACTGGAAGACTTGATTTAGTGATAAACACTCAAATGAACACGGTGCGACAGCCGTTTTAAGATGCACATAGAGTAAATGCCACTGTGCGATAATTAATTTCCCATGAACTTCAGCAAATATTTCAAAAGTGTGGCGTATGAGAACTCTAGTGCCCTCCATGGCTCGTGATTTCCATTTGGGGGGCCGCTCCGCCTCTCGGAAGGCTGCTCGATTCTTCGAATTTCAAAATGTCAGCGAGTTCGTAAATAACCAACCTAAAAGCTGTGATCTGCCAACTGGAAAGACACTTTTTGTGTTCCATAAAGCCGGCACAGTTGGATTCCTTCGACATTAGTTTCTTTTATGCATCTATTTCCAACAACCTTTTTGGGTTAGCTCGCGATAAAGATTGCTTCAACTGTACAGTGCAGGCTCAAACACGTCATGGAAAATAGAAAAGTACAAAGCAATTGATCTCTTAAATCAAAATGAACCATCTTTACGCCAAAGTTGCTTTTAGCCTTTAAATAGCTATCCCTTGGGCTTGATCTCAGGCTGCAGAGGTATGGACGGTGTGCCCATAATGGTAAATCACAAACTTTCTGCTGGATGCACACATTTGCCACCGTTAGCTCTCATTTTCCACAAATACGGCATTTAGAGTCAGCATTGCATCACTATGTGAGGGACACCACCGTGGCGGGCTGTTCTGTGCAGTAAATGGACACAAATGGCTTATTTGATGGGCCTTACTGTTTCATCCACCGTGCAGCTCCCCTCCCCTCTGTAACGATGAGCTATGTCTTCCTGTATAGTCATAGACTGCATGTCCTGGCAGGAAATTGCCTGAAATGTTTGTGTGTTTGTTTTTTTTATTTGTTTTTTGCCTGCTCAGAGGCTGCTTGTTCTGCAAAGAAACAGGCGGCGTGAGGAAACAACAGTCGTACTATTCTTTTTTTTGAACAAGAGAAGAAGAATCATCGCAGCGCAGAGCTAAACTGATAAACTTGACCACTGGGGACAAATGTCAAGCATTGAACAAGACTTTCTTCCTCTGGCTGGTGATTGTCTACACATGAACAAGGAGCACATGCAAACTGCACACGAAAAGGCTCTCAGCCAGCATTTAAACCGGCAAACCCCCCCCCCCACTGTGAAGAGGCCATGCTAACCACCACACTGCCCCACAGCCAGGTAACAACATGTGTTGATGAATTTAAAAAGGAACGCCATGAAGCCTGCCTATTTCCCACAGCATCCAGCTACGATGTCTTCTTGTAAGTCCGTAAAAAAGCTTCTCGCCCACTAAGCGATCCTCCTGTTTTGACCTGCCTGTTTTGACCCACCATCATAAAGAGGGCACATTTCCCATAATTTTCCCATCAGGCATCGGTGAAAGGTTGTGTTGTAATGGTCTGATCAACCTAAGATGGATCAGAGACACATTGTACGTATGCTGAACTCAGAGACGGGTCTTTACAGCCGTGTACACAGACATTAGTTTGATGTATGAGACACCGCTCAAGGTATCATCCATTTGCAGGCATATGCAAGTTTGATTTATGGCTAAAAACTCCAGGTCATACTGATTCACTGCTGTTTCAGTTCAGGACACACTAGGTTATCAGAGAGATTAGCGTGTCAGCCGACATTAGTCATTTTGTAATGATCAGAATCATTTATATAGAAATGGACTCTATCAGATTGCGTCTCAAAGCTTTGAAAATGCACGGGAATACATAATCTGCTCGGTCCATAGTGGGTTTTACCTTGCAGAATCTATTTCAGATCATTCTGCGTGCATCATCCTTCCAGCTCCGGTTGCTCTTTTCAAGCTCAGCTGCATCTGTTCTGGGAAAAAAAAGGAAAGAAAAAGGAGAAAATAGTAGAAATCGCTCCAATTTCCACCTCAGATCTGGACGTAAAAGGCAGCTGATATCCACATCTCGCCATGTTCGCTCAAAACATGGAGCAGTGTGTGTAAAATAATTTGACCTTTACTGTCAAGATAATCTATGATTCATTTGAGTGAGGACTTTCTGCCGGTTTTGAATTAAAGCCTTTAAAAGAGGAAGTCCACCCAGAGCATGCATGTGATGCTAACACCCCTATTAGCAACTCTGTATTAAATTTGTTTGGTTTTGACCCTGTGTTAGCCCTACAAAGCCTGAACCCTCGGCCTCTGTTCTCCTTATCTTTCTCCCGAAACCTCAGAACAACATCATGACATCAAAACTTAACTTTTTTTACACTTTGTTATGTCTGTAATGTATTTAATTCAGTTGCAGGCAGTGACACTCTTTTATTTTTATTGCATACTGAGTTTCTGATGGTGACTCTCAGCTCTGGCTGCTGTCTGAGGAGATTATCATCCACTATTGATCACTACCAGAACTATGCACTTAACTGTACCGCTTACACTGCATAAACCAGCAGATGCACATTTATTTACAACTTTTTTATTGCTCAGCTTTATATATTTACTGATGGGATATTAGTCCTTCGTTTTTCCATCCGGACTGAAAATACATGAGTGCATTTTGAGTATGTGATAATTAAGATTAGCTGGGCCATCTTATTACTATTACATGTCCCCTCTCTTTTCAATCAGTTTTATTTCAATGCCAAACATTAGAAGGGATGCAAATAATAGTCTATTATGTTATCTGAAACACTTTTCCTTGACCAGCTTAACATCCCTGGGATGAGCAAATCATGTCGAACGCAGACAGGCCCGCACAGATGTTGGAGGTCTTAAAAACACGCTCTCCCCCCAGCCTCTGTCAGTCCTCTGCACACGGCGCTGCACAGTTAAATGCGCTCACACAACTCCAACTTACTCAAACTTTCTGACTTTTCAGACAGGACTGACTTATCATTTCATAGAAATTAAGTTCCGTATTTGGGAGGATGCAGCAGTGGTGGAAGATTCTCAGTGAAATCAATCTCGTTATCATCCATTGTGTGATTTAATCTATCACAGTAATAGTTCAGATGCTACCTCTTCCTCAGCAAACATACTGTATTTACAGTGTGTGCAAACAATACACATTCTGATACTAAGCCTGGTTATGGCTCTATCCTGGGTAGGTAGGTCCACCATCCCTCTGTAAATAATGTATTCTTTGCAGCATCCTGATGGTGCTCTGTTTTTTTGTGCGCGTGCGTTTGTGCACAATCTCGCTTGTGTTTAGGATGTTTGTGCCCCCTTGCTTGTTTGTGTCCTTGCGAGTTGAGTGTGCATGCATCTCTATTTTGTGTGCGCACTAGGCACTCTGTCCTCAGTCTGTTTATGTGTTGCGCACCCTTGACCAGCGAACACAATCACACAGACATAGGGGCGCGTGCCTGGAATACAAGGCACGGCATGATGGCAGGAGAAGAGAAGAGATTGCTGCCGTATCCATGGGCAACGCAGGTAACAGGAGGATAAAGTGAGCAGATGCCTTTCTTTTTTTCTTTAAAAAAAAATCTTCCCTTAAAGCTTAAGGCATTTTGGAAGATTTCTGAAGCTGTGACAGATGATTGGAAACAAACTTTATGTCATGCTCATTATGCTCAGATTTAATGTCTTAACGTTCAGACGCAGCCTCACTCTCTACCCTCTGTTTTGTCAGATTTCCATTCCTCTCACACAAACGAGCAGCTGATTTCACTGATTAGCTCGTCCTGCCTGGCTGGCGATGCGTTGCTCAGTGAAATCACCTGATGTACTTATGATGTTGCAGTTTAAACGGGAAGACTCTCGGCATGTCGTAAAAAACAGCCTGTTTGACAAATCCATGTGGTCTTATCTCCCTTAAAGACTGAAGGCTGTCCTGTAAAATGTTTTGACAGGATAAAACCTGTAAAGGTGGAAAGAGAAAGTTGTTTTCAAGACCTTGTCACAAACCATATCTGTCCTCCTGGCAGCGCGCAAACTCAATAAAATTGTCATTTTAGATTACAGAGCAACTCGAGCGGCAGATAAATGAAGATGGAAACGTTTGAGCATTTTTCTGAGAACTCTTCTCCCTGTAATACCAGGAAAGATTTCATAGTTAGGAGGCATTTTCTCATAAGTACAGTATTCTGATCTTGTAATCATGAGAGAAGATAAAGAAAAAGGAAAA